ATCAATCACCAGCTGCAATCCTGCCCCCCCCCCCGCACTTCCAATTTCTTTGGAAGTTCATCTGTCTTACGGGAAAGGACTGAACTAAAATAGGAATTGGGCACCTCTGCTTTTTCTTTTTTCTCTGTTATCATTTTTCCATCTCCATTGCGGAGCTGTGCCACTATGTCTTTTGTTTGTCTTTTGCTACTCACATACCTGAAGAGTGGTTTTTTATTGCTGCCACACCTAGTTAGCTTGCTAATGTAGTGATAATGAAACTTAAAGAAAGGCTAATGGTTTAGGTGATCACAGGTAATTAAGAAAGCAATTAGTTTTAGAGAGAGAACCAAGAAATCAATCTACACAGATGTCCGCCAGCGGAGTCTCAAGGTCACGCCCCCCCCAGAACTCCCTTTATTAACCTTAACAAGCTTACAGATCGTTGATAGTATACAGATAGGGTACTGTTACCTAATGCCAATTAGGATTGGCTGGAGAGAGCCTTTGAAGTTATGCTCTGAATCTATGGGAAAGAGGAAGAATGGGCAGCCGCCCTCCCTCATCAGAAACAGCTGCATGTGCTAGGAGAGTGTGCTCTTTGCGACAACAGATAACAGCAACCTTGGAGGGAGGGTTCCCACACACTCTGTTTTCATTTCCTTTGAAATCAAAAATTCTAGAAGGACATGGTCATTCTTGCCTAGAGTTCCCCTTACTGCCACTTTCCCCACCAAGTTGTCTTTGTTGGTCAGAATCAAGTCAAGGATTGCAAGTCCTCTAGTTTCTTTCTCCAGCTTTTGTAGAAAATGATCAGCCACACAAGCCAGGAATTTTTTTGGAAGGGCCATACTTGGCAGAATTTGCCTCCCAACGTATGTCTGGATAATTGAAATCTACATCACTGTCATGTCTCTTTGAAACCCCTGCAGTTTGTTTTACTTCCTCTCTTTGATTGGGCAGTCGGTAGTAGACTCCAACTACCAAGTTCCTTTTGTTTTTACTTAGATTTGAGTTAAGAACTAAAAAAAACCACGTGGGAGGCAGGGAAAGTGCAAAATTTGAACTTTCAGTTAACTGTTGGCCAGTGAAAAGGGTGCCTGTCTGCTTCCTCACTCCTCCCAGTGTTTAGAGAGTGGATTGGGAGACAGTCTTCAGACTGCCTGGTACTGCCTGGACTGTATTTTCCCTGCCTTCCCTGAACCTTTCTTGACCTAAGAAAAAAAGAAACAAAATATCCCCCTCTAGTGGTCGAAGGCAGAATAGCAGCTTCCCATTAGTTTCTATGGACGGAAAAGAGCAGATACGGATCAAATGGTTTTCAATGCATTCCTATGGGAAATGCAGATTTGACCTGAGAACTTTTTGACTTGAGAACCACCTTCCAATACGGATTAAGTTCTCAAGTCAAGACCCCACTGTATTTATTATTGTGATTATTATTGTTTATGATATTATTGTTGCCCTTTTGATCAGTTTGGTCCATTCGTCTTATTGTGTGTAAGGCTTCATCTACCCGTAACTCTGTGCTTGCGTCTCTCTCCGCCTTCCAATTCAGTTTAAAGCCCTCCTGATGAAGTTCTTCATGCTGTGAGCAAACACATTCTTCCCGGTCCTTGTTAGATGCAAGCCGTCTCTTGCAAGCAGTCCTTCTTCCAGGAAGCTTAGCCCATGGTCCCAAAAAAACAAATCCCTCTTGTCATCACCACCTTTGTAGCCAGCCATTCACCCAGAAGAGCTTCCTTTCTCTTTTGATTCCTCTTCTGAGCACCAGTAGGATGGAAGAAAAAACTATCTGGGCCCCAAAGTCCTTGAATTTCCTTCCCAAAGCTTCAAAGTCAGATACAGTTTCCTGATATCTCCTCTTGGCTGTGTCGTTTGTTCCCATGTGGACAAGAAGAAAGGGATATGTATCTGTTGGTTTTATGAATGATGCCATCCTTCCATCACATCCCTTATCCGTCCTCCAGGGAGACTGCATACTTGGCAAGTCCATGGATCCTCCCGGCAAATTTCAGTCTCAGTTCCACATAGCAGGGAGTCCCCTACTACAACTACTCTCCTCTTCTTTTTGTAGGGTGTGGGTTCACCTACTGTATTCTGCTGCACTTCAGCCCTATTCATGTCCTCCTGTGGAGTCTCCTCTGCATCCTGTCCGACAGACTCTTCTTCAAATAACTAAAAGCGGTTTTGTAGTTTCACTGGGAAAGAGTGTCTTCTCCTCTTGCTCCGAACTGTGATTCTTTTCCATGGTGGTTCCTCCACTATGTTTGTAGTCTCTCCAGCATTTTTCTCCACTACAGTGTTTTGGTTTTCTTCCATTAGCAGTGTCCCCTTTGCCAGCTGCTGCTGCTCAAGAGTTCTATCAATGTAGGCTTCATCTTCCCTTATAGCCTTGAGTGTGGCTACTCGCTGCTCCAGGTCTCTGACTTTCTCTTCTAACAGTGCCACCTGTTTACACTTGTTACATTTATACAGCATTTTGCACTCAGGAAGAAAGACAAACATAGCACAAACTTTGCAGGTAACCACAATTGAGTGGTTGTTTGGGGCCTCCCCCGGTGAACTCTGTAGGCTTCAGAAAAGAGGACTTGTAAGCTTCACTGTTTTGACAGGGAAAAAAGGGCAAACTCAGTCTTGAGAGAGATTGATAAAGGGACTGAACAGCAAATAGGATAATGTCATTATGATGCAACCACAATTTGAATGCTTTATAGTGATGAGCTGTAAGAGGGTAAAATAGATGTGGGAAATGGCTAGCAATAGTCGGAGGTTTCCAGTCAGATTGACACAGTTGCACTGAGGGAAGTGAAGCTTTAATTTCCCATGTCATTTGGACCCTCAGGTGCCTCTATTTACCCTAGCCTTTTCTGGGGTGCAGGATTAGATTTGTGTAGCGGAACAGGGTTAAACTGTCTCTTTAGGGTCTCTGCTCTAATTTGATTCAGCGCCTCCCATTTGTTTAATAAACATTTATTTTAAAATAAAAATGGAGAAATTGTGCAGTCAACCATATTATTTCAAAATGTGTTCCGTTGACATGACTGAGTGCTCCGCCATACCAAATTATTAAAAATCCTATGCATAGAAAATGGGCATCTCTTCTTGGTATTTCATCTATGCAGAAGGGATGTGGGTGTTGGGAGCCCCCTCCTGCAGACTAAAGTAAAATAATCCAAGCTCAGATCAACGCATACAATGAGAATTAGGCTGGCAGAAGGCATAATTTTATGCAAGGCATAATAATGTAATTGAATACCACAGGATGTAGTGGTAGTTTCTAGCACATGTAAAAGGAGTCAGGCCCACCCTTTACGAGTTTCTCTTCTCAGGAAAGATTTATGCTTTTGATTATTGAATGCTGCAGTCAAGTGGGACAGATAATGTTGTTGTATCTTGTGCCTTTCCAGAGATATTTGGTATCTGTGGGAGATGGAATGTTGTGTTTTAAGTATTATTGGGGTGATCCAACATGGCAGTTCCTACTTTTTCATAATGTTTCAACTTTATGAAGCAGGTGTGTAGTTGCAGAAATTAACCAAATAGGTGCATTCATTTGGATGTCCAACATTGTTTTATGTGTTACCTAAGCACAGGAAGTAGCAGAATTTCACATTTCTAGAAATGAAACTTCAGGGAAAAACCATCAGTAAGCATTTACATGATACTATTGTGAGACTGGAGTCTTTGAAAGTTACTGGGTCCCCTTCCAAACAAACATTCATATATTTGATAGACATTCAGATCTGTGGTTATTGGAAGTAAGAGCTTCTTAACACTCATTATTGTGTGTGAGGAGGAGAGAAGATGGGGTGGAGCACATGGTACTCAGGAAGAGCCTAGATGTCTTCACATTCTGCTAAGTGATGGGTTAGCATAGCAGTCATTTGCTCCTTAGTAGAATGGATTAATGTTAATTCCACCCATGGGTCTGGGAAGACTGCAAAGTGCTTGGGTCTCCAGCATGACATAGCTGTGCACCTCCTGGTTTCAAACCCATGGCTACAGAGAACATTAGAATGACGCACATCAATTTCTGTGTGTTCAAAGGCAACACATTTGTTCTATTAGCATGAAAGTATTCCTCCAGAGAATCTGAGGTCCCACTAAGGAGCTTTCACAATTTCCATACTACTGACAGAGTTGGTAGCATGTAAAACAGGCAAAAAAACTGGGTCATTCTCTGTGAGTCTTCTTTTGGGCTAATATGTTGCTTGAAGTGTTTCAGGTGATAAAGGGGTAGTTTGTATAAATCATGGAAAAGAAGGGCTTTATGGGGCACCACACAAGTTCATTAAGTTCATTTCTCATTTCAGATGTTTATGGTGAAATCCAAAATTGATTTAGAAGGGAGAAGTGGCAGTTCAGCACATTGTTAGTTGACATTATTCGGTAATAAACGTCTGGTGGTATACTATGGAAGATTCTGATTTGGGCTTCTAAAGGGAGGATGATTCCTAGTTTACCTATTTGACATTTTGAACAAATCTGCCTCTTGTTTGCTATGCCAGAGATAGCAACCATTGTAAGAGCAGTGTTTGGTCCCAGCAGAAGAAATGGGTCATGCAGGTAAGACCCCTTGGGGATTTATTTTATATGTAGTGGTATTTTTCAATTTGAGGGAATAAAAAAATTAAATGCTCCATGATTTCCAGAAGCAAAGTATTATGCCTCATTTTTTAATACAGAAATACTGGTGATCCATAAAACAATGTTGGATTTTTTTCCCTTGAAGGTGATGGCTGAGGGTTCCTGTTCACTGGAAGGAACCACATTACTAATCTGGCTGATCTAATATGGGTACTGTTTTACACACAACAAAATAAATAATATATGTTTATCTGATAATTAAGACATTGTAATGGTAGTTTTGATTAACTCAGCTAATATTAATTAATGTTTTGGTTATCTCTCTATCACAAATTGCTCTAGATGATTGTTGGGGTGTTTGGTCCAAGAGACTGGAAGTTGGGAGGATGTTGAACTACATATTTTATTAGACTAGCTGCATCTAGCCAGCATTAGGAGTATATTTTTGTTAGGAACAGTTTGAATCTTTACCATACAATTTGAATCATGTTAATTTGATTATTGCCTCACCTACATCTGAATCAGTGTATTTGCAAAAGACTCCATGCATATTTGGACTGGGAACATCATGCCAAGGCAGATCCTGTGCATTATCATTTTGGGCCACACTGAGGTACTGGAGCTCATGACATACATTCTGTCACTGTGTTGGTAATCATGAGAGTGACCCTGGCTAATGTGTTTTAAGTGCCAGTCACTAGTGCCTGCATATCAAAGACAAGGAGCTAGGGCTACACTTAACTTTGATTTGTATTATCATTTCAGAATCCATACTGGTGAAAAGCCTTTTGTTTGTAGTGATTGTGGAGCAAGATTCACACAGAATCACATGCTTATATATCATAAAAGATGCCATACAGGTATGAGAATCATTTTGCTTTCTGTGCACTCAGTTTTTTTAATTAAGTGTCTGATTTCTTTTGTGTAAGGCCCTGTTGATCCAAAAGAGTAAGTAACTTTTTGGTATTAATATGTTGCAAGTAAGTGAACCCATGTATGGGCAGTCAAAGTGAAAAATAAAAGTTAAACGATTTGCAGACTGATAGCTGTCTAGTCTGATTCTTTGTAGTCAGCGGCTGCAGTTATATGATACACTGCAACCCAGAGAACCATGGGTGGTTAATAATTTCAAGCAGCATTCAGTTGGTTTAGAAGAGCTACATGGTATTTGATGTAGGCAACACAAGCTCAACTTGCCACATATACCTTCCAGAGCTCTGTTGCTCTTGGTTTACTCATAGAATCCAGAGAAGTTCAGCATTCTGTTTTCAAAAATTATTTTAGTTATTAAAGTCCAAAATACAAGCTTTTACCACATCTTGTGGACTCTGTTACCTTGGATTAGTGCAGTAGCTGCAACTTCCCACCTTCCCTTTATTTGACAACTAATGCTGGTTAAGTGGCTCATTGGGGCAGGGAGCATAAATGCTGAAAATTGAAAGTGTTTAAATTGATAAATTCTGTCCTAAATTCTGTTTTTTTTTTTTTTTTCTGTCGTAATTGCTTGTTGCTCTTATTTGTGGCTTTGAAAAAAATGTTTTTTTCATTTCTCTTTTCCCATGTGATGTAGGGGAACGGCCTTTTATGTGTGAAACCTGTGGGAAAAGCTTTGCCTCCAAGGAGTATTTGAAACACCATAATCGAATCCACACTGGGTCTAAGCCATTTAAATGTGAAGTTTGCTTTCGGACATTTGCACAAAGGAATTCATTGTATCAGCACATTAAAGTTCATACAGGTAGGGAGAAAAATATCACACTGGGTGGAAGTCTGGCTTTAAAGCTTTTTGAGAACTGTAAGATGTGCTATCCTAAAATGTTGCTGTTTCTTATAATCCTAAATGTTTGGCTCCTTTGGTCATTCTGTGGACATTGTTATTAAATATGTGGCAAAAGAGGACTATAGAAGATTATAAGCTTGAGCAGCTCTAGACTAATGCATTTTTGTCAATTCTTTCTTCACTAGGAGGCTACCTGATGCTTTTTTTCTCATAAACACGGGTGCATATCTTGCTTCTATGCCTGCAGATTAGTGTGGGAATATTTTAGAGAAAAAGTATAAGCCGTCAGAGGCACTTTTATAAATATCAGTCCAGTCCTGTATTAAATTGGCAAAGCTCTACTGAAATTACTGACATAATTCCCGCTGACATGCTGATTGTATTTTAAGATTGACCAGTCTCAAAGTGTAATTTGTGACAGCTCTTGAAGATTCTATTTAGTTGTTTCTTGGTTGCTATCAAAGTCATCATCCCTCTTGTATGCAGTCAAAACCCAATAGTAATTATATGCTTTGGGTTACAGGTGAGCGTCCGTACTGTTGTGATCAGTGTGGTAAACAGTTCACCCAGCTCAATGCCTTGCAGCGCCATCATAGGATTCACACAGGGGAAAAACCATTCATGTGCAATGCTTGTGGTCGGACATTTACTGACAAATCAACTCTTCGGAGACACACCTCGGTAGGGAGATGTACTTTTTTTACTTCCTAGCAGCACTTGTAAATGATATACTTTAGAGCATTCTGTAAACCACATAATACTGTATAGCATAGCTGCCATCTGAGTTAGAATTATGGCTATTGATTAACTGGTTGGTTTATGGAAACAGGAAGAGATATTCTTTAGAGAATCCTAGCTGAGGGGCTTTCCAATTCTCTGCATTTAACAAGTTCTGTGGGGTTGAATACATGATTGTGAACTGTTACAAGAGCAGGGATTGAATGCTGCAGTAATTTAGACCCCTGTTCATTGTGTGCCATTGTGGAAGAAAACTCAGATTCTTCTTTGATTCAATAATGAAAATAAAGTATAACTGTAGGCTTGTCTACCTTACCTGTGTGTATGAGGTTGCTTTATATGTTTGCTGTATGGCTGGATTTCATTTCCTCTATAATCATTGTAAAAGATGGGAAGGATTCTTCCCTTTATTATATTTACATTTTAATTGCTCTAGTCTCTGTTTTTATATGCAGGTTTTAAGCTGTCTAAGAACAAATGTAGGTTGTTGAAGCTAGATCCTTTACTGCTGAATATAAACTTTTCAAGGGTGTTGAGCCTGTGGCTAATGAAAATTGAGTTATCCTAACCTTTGCTAAGGCCTTTCTGATTTTCGTGCATGCTTTGTTGGGGAAGTCACCTAGAGCAGAGCTGCTAAACAGCCAGGTGGACTGCTTCCATGTGCAAGAATTCCCAGCTGAGACCTCTGTGTGGAATTGTCATTGTATTGGGTTCCATTAATTAGCCAGCAGGTTAAGAATCTGTGCTGTGGAATGTAGTCAGGGCCAATGAAGAATTTTGCATGTGTGGACTTGTCGACTATGTTTGGATTTTTTCAGATTCACGATAAGAACACACCATGGAAGTCTTTTCTTGTAGTTGTTGAAGGTGCTTCCAAGAATGATGAGGATCAGAAGACAGAGCTTCCTGATGAAGACTATGATATGGCTCATTCCAAAATATCTGAGAAGCTTCTACCCTTCTCAGAAAATGGTCACTATCAAACTCTGACAACTGTCCAAGGAAACATGACAGCTCTGCAGGAAAATGGATCCCCATCAATAACTGATGGCAAATTGACAGTCACCGCAGGGTCCCAAGAAGCTGCTATACCTCCATCATTGCATAATCTCACAGTGTTGCACACCCAGACAGACTCACTTCAGCCACCCCTTCACACCTTGGTGAATATGGAATAGCATCATTCACTAAGAACATCATTTGAACCAAGGATAAACTGTCTAATACTGTTCATCCTGACACCACCCAGGAACTGAAAACAAAGTAAAAAATAATGCTTATTATGTTAGGTGGTCTCCATCTCTCACCAAAATAGTACTTCTGAAATTGTCTCTTAACTGAAGAATTCAAATCTTTTCATCCCATTTGGTAAAGTGCAGCCTATTCTTTCTGTCATGTTATACCAGTGTCATTTTAAAGTAAATTTCAGATTATGGTTAGTGGAAGGGAAATGAAGCATTGCTGCTGTTTTAATCCAAATATCTCCTTACCATTCTCTTGGCAGAAGACTCTATTTGGCTATAGTTTTTCAGTAGCTCTTTTGAAAGAACAGCTGTGCTTTTTGGTTTTTTTTTGATCAATTATTTCGCAGTGCATGTGAATAAATGTAAAATATAACATGACAATCTCTGACCCTTTTAGATAATCTGGCCTACGATTTTCATCAATTCCATCCTGCCTAGTCATTGACTTGTGGTAATCCAGAACACTTGCAGGGACAGACAATCCATACTACTACTTAGGATGTAGTGTTTAATGAAATTTATACGTAGGAGTTTGTGGCTTCTTTTGTTACAAAAAGGAAAAATAAGTGTGGGGAAAGAGCCACTTACTAAACAAACAGTATAAGAGGTCTGACACTGCTTTTGTGTGTGGAAAAGAAGAAATAGAATGTGTCCCTCTGCCAGCAGAGCAGCATCTACTAGTAGAACAGGTGTTTCTTTACTTCTGAATTTACACTGAGATCTGCTGTGGAAAGATGGGGAAATGATCTGTAGGAGTTTTGGAGGACCAGGGTGGAGAGGATTCAAGGGGAGTATTGAAAAAGAAACATCTGTTGCATTAGTGGAAGTCTTTCAGCATGTTGTCTTTCATGCCAGCTTTGCAGAAGTAACAGAATTGTATCCTATTCCATCAGTTTATGCTCTGCCAGATTGATTGTTCTAAGCAATTTGAAGCTGATTTCAGATTAGTATTGCTTAATTTGGTTCAGAATTTTACAGGGATTTCAGTTTTTATTCTATGGTTGAGCCCAAGATATTGGGCATTCTGCAAGCCTGCTGTCTTGCCTTTCTTCTCTCTTCCCTGCAGTCAATTAATAATCTCAGCTGTCTATACTGTAAACTCCTCATAGCCATGTCTTTACCGTCTGTCATAGGTTTATTCTCCATATCCTCCAACAGCAAAAAGGCTGTTCACAAAGTATTGCACTTCTAAATTGTCTTTCATTCCCCCAAAGGGCCTTAGTAGAGTTTCCCAATCTCTTCTGATCCCAGTGCCGTACTTGTGGGTGTTGTGTATTTGTTCATAGGATATAGCATTCTACAGTTTAAATTTCCTTAGCTGCATATTGCTAAAACAGATTGCTCCAAAATATTGAATATAGTTTTCTCAAGTGAGAGGCTGCATATCTTGCTGTAAGTTATTCATTGTGATCATCAAGGTTCCCTCTAAGCTGGGTGGGCACCTGTGCCCAACTCTTTTCCTGCTCCGTGTGACAATCGCATTAGGTTTCAGTCACGACAGAATCCTGTGGGGCGGCGGAAAATTAGAGGGGTACATTGATATATTTTTTAAAAGTCTTGTCAACTCCTCTCTAGTGGTTTTTGTTAACATTTTGTGTCACAAATGATAAAATATTCTTGTAGTTTATGATGGTGATCCAACACTTTGTGGTAAGTACTCCTATTGATATGTATTTGCCTTTTTTTAACCAAAGCTACACATTCTGTTGCACAATTAACATTACAACCAGATGTCATTGTAACAGCCACCAGCCATTTAAAAGGGAGAGTTGTTTAGATCTCCAACGTACTTGTCTAAAGGTTTTATAGAATATATTTCAGAAAAGTTGTTTCATCAATGCCTTCAGTGTTAACAGCTGGAGAACAAATCCATGCAGTATAACTGCCAACATTTAAGGAAAAAACAAGTCTCTTGATTTTTCTTCATCGTAGGAGTTGTGGAGGCAACAGGTTGCTTTGCTTTTGCTTTTAAAAAAATCAATATTGTGCCTTTTCATTTTTAAATTCAGGAAAAAATAAGTGCCATACCGCAAACATTTCAATCTGACATTCCATTGATTTCCCTCAAGACTTGAAACTCCTGATTTAAGTGTTGGGAATAATCCTAATGTATGAGTTTTTTCTGGGCCCTTGTGGTACTGGCAGCACTCAAAATGAAGTATTGCCTGTAAGAGCAAGTGGGATCTGGTTTCAGGTGTTCTTTTTAGCCAGTAATAGACCCATGTGTACAGCTTCTTTTAACAGTATTCTAGATGTTCTATAAAACAAAGAATGTTAAATGCTTCTGAAATCAAGTGCAACTGCTTACGTTGCTCTTTCTTGCAACTTGGACTTAACAATTATACTGTTTTTTCTGCTTACTTTCACTGGGTTGTATGAAGCAAAGACCACTGTTGGAATAGATTTTCCCTTCTACTACACTCCCATATGCTCTTCAGCTTTGCTTCAGAGAACTGTGGGAACATTTGGAACAGATGGGGGGAGGCTATGGGGGTTCTGCAGAGAAGAGGAAGTGTTGTAGGAGTGCAGGATATCGCACACTCTTTTGATGCACTTGTGCACTAATGAAGCATGAGTTTAATGAAGCATTTGATGTTATGTGGGGGATCTTCCCCCCACTCGCTTCTGACTTCTATGATTACCCTGCATCTGTTTCTAATCACTTTCAGGGATACAGAAGCATATGACAAAGTATTCTTATTACAACAGAAGATGGCTAAAATCTTGTTGGGAATAACTAGGCCTGCAGAAGGTTGATGATGTCACTAACAAGAGATTTTCAATAATTAAAGACTTGCCCTTTTTCTCCCAGTTTTCTGATTTGCACATAATCTCTTTGTGTGGAAGCAGTGGGGGCCATAGGAAGTCTTTAACTGTTGAAAAATTCTGCCTGTTGGTAATATCTGGTGTTGTCAATTTTCGGTAATGAAAAACTTCATCTTTCCATCCTGCATCCCCAAGATGATGAAATGAGTTATTTGCAAGTAAGAAAAGCCATGGGAAAGAACATAAAATCTTTCATTACCAACATCTTCTGGTTATGCCATCACCCTTCCATAGCTGTAGTTAACACCAATATGATTTCAGTTGATTATTGTTTCACAACAGCAAATTATCTTCTCAAGATATTGGTGGATTCAGTTATTAGTACAGTGTGCTTTAGGTAATTTCTCCTTCAAGGTTGTTTTATTTCTTGAAATTTTGGTAAACGTATGGTTTGGATTAACTAGCCAGGCAAAGTCAGCCACAACAGTGTGGTCCTCCAGATGTTTGTGGCTATGCATCTCAAAAGTCTTCACCATTGGCTATGCTGGCTAGGGTTTATGTGATTTGCAATCCAGCATCTGGAGAGCCATATGACCTTCATTTCTGCTCTACATTTCTCCCCATTTTTAAAATCTATTTGAATCAAAGTCACTTGTGGGAGGCAGGAGGAACATGAAAATTAAAGCAATAACAAATCAATTCAATTAGTTATTTTTTGTAAATCCCTTATTAAAAGCATGTTAATTTTATTCCCTGTTTAATTCACTATAAAAGGAGTCCTTTTAGAAAAACTACCAAGAGGTTATATTTACATATTTATTTTGTAAGCCACATGTTCTTTTTTGGCTATTGAATTTTAATGACCAATTGCTAAGAATTTGTAGTAAATATTTGAATCCTTATGTTAGTACCTATAAATAGGGATTTTTATTTTATACTGTATCAACATGTGAAGATGGATTAACTTGTATGAATTGATAAGCCTAATTAAAAGAAATTGAAATAATGCCGTTCTTTTTGTAAATGGGTTGCTTGGAGAAACCTTTGTAACATACAACATCTGCCCTGCTAATATATTCCTTATTTCCATGTCAGCATCTATTTTATAGCTCGGGGGTGTGTGAAACTTTGGTTTAATAGCCAGGGGTTGCAATGTAGGGTAGAACTCTAGCCAACCTGTAAACTCTTTGACATACCCATCTCTGCTGCATACAGTCGTACTGCAAATTACCAGACCAACCTTTTGTTTGAGCTACATAACAGAATAGTCAGCCTAAAACTGATGCAGTTACAAACTAGGTCTACATTGATCAGCATTAGGTTCACAATTATTGGAAAATAAAATGGGAAGCCCAGTACTAGCAGTGTGATCAAAGAGTCAGATCCTCTTCTTTAAATCTCTAGACTGGTTCATACTGGACTTTCCCCACCACCACCACCATCTTTAATCCAAGAAGGAAGGTTTTACATTGCCTCTCCTGTTAAAAAAAAGGGGGGGGGTAAAGTATGTGGCAGCCTGGAATGGTGGCAGTGCTGTTATGGCTGATAAAGACATACTGTAGGCTGAATTTCCACCACTAAACACTTATTTCATATAGCAGGATCTGGAATGTCTCAGAAGGTGAAAAGCATTATCACACACAATATCAGTACTTTATTGCTCTTCAAAGAAATGCACAAATAGTGTCCTAAGTTCTTGGTTCAACTTTTCCCGTGAGTTTTACACTTTTTGACCATAGATGTATGCCAGGCTGCCAGATCATCTTGAAGGCTACTGATGTCACAATACTGTATACAGTGTAATAATACTCAATAAGTAATTCTGCACACATGGTGAGTAAGCTCTAATTATACAGAGAATATGCTACTCTAAAACATTCAGATTTCAATTAACATTGCTATATAATCACATTTATAATTCCCAAGTGTTAAAAAGTAACTACCTCACCCCAACTGTTACCCTATATAATGGAGGGCAGCCACACAGCTCACAACATTCCAGAGGCTCTGAGGCACATACTGCCACAGGGGAGTCGTTACAGAAAGGGGAGGTCTTTGTCACAGGCTGCACTGCATGCTGGGAAGATGAAAAGGGTGCAATGTATGGCCCACAGCCTAGCAGTTCAAGGTGCTTTGCAGCGTATGGAAGACATATGCATACCTAATATAACTGAGTGGGCAAAAAAGGTGGCAGGGCATTCCCCCCTCCACACACACTACAATGGATAGCATAGTGAGCTGCTGCAGCAAAGAGAAGAAAAACTAGGATTTGCACTGTAGCACCTAATTCAGGATGTGGCAAGCTGACGCAACTCCATTTTCTACTGGCTTGAAAGAGCAGCAAATGGCATTCCATGATTTGGCACTGGAGATTTCAATTGGTATGGCTGCTTCTCTGGGCAGAGAAGAGTGGGACATTATGGGTCAGATGGTCTGTGTCCTCCAAAACTTTGAGAGTGCAACACAGATGCTTAATGAAGAGACAGCCACCCTTAGCCAAGCTATCCTAATGTTGCAGGGCTTGGTTGGCATGATAGAGGCTGTAATGAAGGGCCAGTCTAGGTGGAAACCTTGTCTTTTGCTTTCTAACCTATAGGAGCAAATGGGATTCTGAATACAGTATTAGGAATTATCATTACAGCTATTTGAAATTATCAGATTTGGATTCATAGCTGTCCAATTATGGCATTATTCTGTGAATTCTCAATATTTCCAAATCTGAATGCACATCCTGATTTTATTTTGCACATAGTATTACACAGACAACGAGCCCTTTCAGTTCTGATCATTTGTGATGAGTGCTAAATTTTGATTTTTGAATCTTAGGTACTATCATGTGAAAACCTGCAGTATGAACCAAGGCACATGTATTAGTTACTTTTGCAAAGAATCTTGTGAACACATCATAACATAAGAAAAAAGAGTAGTCCTAGAATTTAAAAAATGGATTCTTCTGTGTTTCCAGTACTGGTCAGACTAATCAAGATGGGGTTGATATACAGACTAATTTCAGCCCCTGAATAAAGAGTAAGTATGCCAAGACGAAAGTGTCAGCACAAGAGACAGAGAAGGCTCTGGGAGGAGCAGAGGAGTGGCCACTAGTAACCCCTTCCACACCTGGTTCTACTGAGTGTCCTTGAAAAGTTCCCGACCTGGACTGGGACTCATCCTCCCCTTCCATTTTCAGAGACCTGGACTCCCAGGGCACCCTGTTGCTTTAACAGGGGACCCTCTTGTAAGGAGATTCCCTGTGGGAAGCTGTCAAAGGGGGTTAAGGACGTGCTTGAGCTTTGTCCATCATTAGCATAAAGCTGCTGACAACTGATGCCAAAATGAATCTGGTCCTGGACAGGGAAAAGATCCCCCCCACTCCTGCAATGCCAGAATTATTTTACCTTTTGCTGTCTGGCAGCACACCACTTTGAGAACAGACTCTGCTGGGGATGAAACAGGATTATTAAACCACACACTTTGTCTTTACATTAGGCAGCACACTCTTTAATGACAATTGTTATGATAAAACAAAGCAAAACCTACAGAGCCACAGCTCCCTTCATCCCTAAACCCATATCCCAAGTGGTTGCAGTCTTCATAATGAGCAATGGGAGTTTTCCAGCTATCAAGTAAAAATGCAAGTGAGTTGACAAAGATGGTTCACATCTGTGTATCATGTTACAAAATAAGCTGTCTTGCATTGCCTTTACAAAGTAAACAATGAATAAATCTACTAGTACGCATCCACTCACGTTTGACAGATTCCTAAGCTACAACACCAGCACATATTAATATATCATTGTAGGTCAACAAATAAAATATATAAATACATTTAAATTGTCAACTTCAGAACAGAACTCTGTAGATAGCTCTGCAACATAGAGTGTTGAAATGTTTCAGAAACCAACCATTTGAAGTCACTGCTGAAAGCTATGGACTTAAACTCAGGGCCTGTAGCAGCAGCGCTACATGTGCCTGAATTGAAATAGTTGCCACCGTCTGCTCAAACAATTACAATCACTGGCTGCAAAAGGGTGATTCTAAAGAACGTGATTGATCTTGCAATGTTAACTGCGCCAACCAGTTTTATGATCATTGCAAATGTCTGAGCCAGTATGGATTGCCACATGGGAGACTGCTTCTCTGAGGAGCAGAGAGAATTAAAGTTCCTCTAAATCTTCTCTGGGGAACAAAAGGAAACCTCTTTTGTGTGCATTTTGCCTTCACAAGATCTAAGCGGGGGAAAATCCCACAGTAATCAAAGCAGCTGTCTCGCCCTCCCTTGAAGGGACAGTGGCCAGAATCTTATTGCCAATTTATGTTTGTTAATAGAAATGGACAAAGTAAGAATCATGTAAGTTGTAACTGCAAACTGCCATTCATTAATAGGTTGCTACTTTCAGTAATTTGCTGCCATGATTTACAAGCTTTATCTTGTGAAGAGAGGTAACTCAGTGAATCCTCAGGGATGCAAGTAAAGGGCTGTGCAGCAAATAAAAGAATAAATATATCTATTAGAAATAAAAATAGAAATGTACACATCTGTTTACTATTTTACATTTATAGCTTGCCTGTCCTCTTAGGCAACATGTAGAGAACATTCCCAAGCAGTCTGCTAGGTGGGCACTAATAACATCCCAAACTTGCATAGCTTCAACACACTGTTGCATCGTCTTCAGACCATGTCTTTGGAGGATGCCTACACACACACACATGCACACGTGTGTGTGCGCGCACACACACACACAGAGTTACACAGCCTTGCAAAAATGATTGTCTGTGTCTCCTATCCCCACTTCCTACCCACTGCCTGAGTCTGCTACCCCAGTGGTCCCCAACCTTGGGCCTCCAGATGTTCTTGGACTACAACTCCCAGAAGCCTTCACAACCACCTTTGCTGGCTAGGATGTATGGGAGTTGAAGTCCAAGAACATCTGGAGGCCCAAGGTTGAGGACCACTGTGCTACCCTACAACAGGAGTGGGTCACCTGTGGCCCTCCATATATCATTGGACCACTGATCTCAGCAATTCTAGCCAGCATGGTCAGAGGGGAGGAACTGTGGGAGGCGAGAATCCAAGAATAGTTGGAGGGACTACACATTACTTATCATTGTTCAAAGGACCAACACTCCTTTAAAGTCAAAACTGAGAAAGACAGTTGGCTGCTGTTGCTAAACAGAAGCATACAGTAGCCCTAACTCACCATTCGCTGTTGTGTTACATGCCATCATGTCAGAACTGACTTAACAGCAACTCTAACAGGGTTTTCAAGATAAGTGAGGTATTAAGGAGTGGTTTACCAGATGCATACCCCCAGTGAGTCTCTATGGCAGAGTCAGGGAATCGAACCCTGGTCTCCTGAGCCCTAGTCTGTCAGTCCATCCATTACACCACATTGGGAAACATCCACCATTCATTACACTGAGATGCTAGCCTCACACCCCTCCCATATTTATATCTCAGTTGGCTTTAGAAGTGAAGGCCAACGCTCTGAAGTGGACGACCTCAACTATCTATGGAGTCTTTTTACCTGAGTTGAAACCCAAGACATTATGGTTTCAACTTGGATGGAGAGCCCCCATGGAAAGCAGAGGCTCTCTGCTTCAGACTTCCATCTTTCATGCATAAGAAGGTGCTGGCACTGGAGATGGTGGAAATGGGCTAACATGAACTCCTCATATTTACACAATGAAGACGAGAACAGGGCTAGCAAACACATAGAGATAAGTGATAGGAGGGATGCTGATTAAGTCTGGAATTACCTGTCTGTTTGGAGGCTTTGCTTTCTATCCGTATTAAGCCAGTGGTAAACTGCATAGCTGAAGACGTGTCTATAATCTCTCTCTATATATACTTTGTGTGGTATGTAACAAGTTAGCTTTGACGTCTGGTCTACACATACTGCAGAATGAGGTTGGCAGTACAGACTACACTGCATGTGGAGATGCCATTTCCTATCCTGCCAAGTGACAAATCAGACAGGAGAAGGCTTACTGTTGTGCAGTTTTTCAATAAATTATACAGAGAAGACTGTATTCATGTGTGATCCCACCTACCCACAATCTGAAGTGGTATGATGTGTTCCATGTGAAAAGCCTAGTGCTTTATTCTGTTGCATGTATAGGCCAAGCCCAAAGAAGCATTCAGGAAGAGCAATGTGCCTCTTCTACTCTGAAAGCTTCATAATTTCTTTACATTTAGGTTACTCTTTAATTCTACTTGTCTATTACACATACAAATATGCTTGCACATTGTATATATCAGAATCACAAGCTTTTCACCAGCACTAATGACATGGCTCTATCACATTTAAACTGACAGTGACAAAAAACAAAACAAAAAACAATAAAAAACACAGTTTGATGAAACTATTTCCTTTTGTGTGATAAAAATATATACATTTTCATGGATTAAAGTGTAGGATTAGAAATGTAGGGGGTCCTTATCTAGGAAAGAAGACATGGCACCACAGAAGAAAAAACACCTGCTTGTTAGCTACTAGAAATAAAAAGGTAGATTTCCTTTTTTTTTTCTTTCAAAGGGACCGACACGTGTGAATTTCACATATTCACAAGTACACTGAAACCTGTGTGAAGCTCCAATGCATAGTACAACAGCATCAACACAGTGATGTTCAGACCTTTCCAGCTTACAGAAGTGCTTCAGGATTCCTGGTTTGGTGCTGAGGTTGGTCAGCACAGAAAGAGACCTCAGGAGTGCCACTGCCATTAGTATGGTATGAGTACTATACTAAACCTTTTCTCTTCCTCCATGTCATCAAAGTAGACATGCATTTCTCTGTCACTTATGTAATATTTGGACCATGGTAACAGAACAATTTGCATTCATCATAGCTTATATTCTAAACTGCACTTATGCCAATGGATTTACTTCTAAACAAACAAGGAGGAGATTCTAATAGAAAGGGAGTTTTGTATGTTACTTCTCATCTTGGGTCACATCAGTATAAGCTCAGACATATTTGAATTGTGAAAATGCAGATCACACTTAAAAGTTGCTATTTTGATATCCTAGAGAAGGGATGGACTGAAGGAAGCTCAATCTTCTGGAAGATCTCTTAGGAAACTTGTGGTGGACCTGCAAGCATTTCTGATTCACAATAAAAAAAATGTTCTCCAGTGCTCCCACCACCATCAATCATACCGCTGAACATAAAAGCTTGTGGTAAACAGAATGGAGTTTTGTGTGGAAGAAGACTGTGAGTGGAGTTCAGTCCTGATTTAAAAAAAAACTGGGAAAGAATCATTTACCGCTAAGGATTTGTCTTTTGCACATGGTCCAGTTGGCAGATTTTGAGGTTCTAATAAAACAGAACATGCAGGTCCTGAGTCTGCTGCCTGACATCCTAACATGCATGGAGAAAAGCTGTGCTCTCCTATGTTCACACTCATGTGATAAGTATTTTTAAAAGATCCAACTACATTTTAGATGTCCATCAAAACTGCCACATCCAGGGTAGGAGGTGGGGATACTCGCATTATCATTACAAGGTGGCTGGCACTTCACATCAGCTGACTAGACTAAGTCTCAGCATACTTACTAGCGTGTAAGTGCATCTGAACACAGTGGGACGTATTTCCAAGAAAACACGCTCAGGCTCCAATCCTATGCACAGTTACCGGGAAGAGAGCCTCCCTGAACACCATGGATCCTACTTTTAAGTAAACATGCATAGACTCAGGCGATAGCTTGAATTTAGGGAAATAATTTAAAAAGGGAAACAAGAGATTTTAAAAATAGATAAATTCACGTCTGCAATTACACTGAAAGAGCCACAACAGAGCTAAACAAGACACCAGTCAGTTAAGCTAGAAGCATGTATCAAATATCCCACAACGGTCCTTGGCCACAACACAGTGTATTTCAATAGACAAGTCACTACACCACAAACTGCACCAATGGTTCACTTCAGGTCTCCATCATTGTCTTCTTGAATGGATTTTTTAATGCGGAGTAACATAGTTGTAAGCCACTGATCCAAGCGGGATATTGAATCAAACTCTTTAACCTAGTTTGGAAGAGTAAACAAAACAGGTCAGCAAAATGAAGCGAAACATTGAAATCATGTCCTTTTCCCCATGATTATAAGAAACAGAGAAAATAAGAATAACATTGATGTCATGGACTATTCATACACAATGCACCACAAGCAAGTAGGAGAAACCAACTCTTTTTACCACACAAGAGTTGTACTACACAAGCAGCATTCCCCTGCTCATCTGCAAAAGGGATAGGAGGCACAAGTGCGTCACACATCTCTGCCAACATCTATTTATTAGGCTCCTGCCTAAGAAGCATGGGTGACAAGGAAATCTATAAAACAGAGAGAGTGACCTGGCAAATAATGGATGAAGAGCCTCGTGGCGCAGTGGTTAAAACGCTGTACTGCAGCTAAAACTGTGCTCACGACCTGGGGTTCAAATCCCAGGTAGCCGGCTCAAGGTTGACTCAGCCTTCCATCCTTCCGAGGTCGGTAAAATGAGTACCCAGCTTGCTGGGGGGGCAATGTGTAGCCTGTATAATTAAATTGTAAACCGCCCGGAGAGTGCTTGTAGCGCTATGGGGCGGTATATAAGTCCAATAAATAAATAAATAATAAATAAATATGGGCCCAGGACAGAAACCATGTGGGTTGATAGATAAGATGCTTTTCTCTACATACCGGTAGAACATGAAAGTAACTATGTGCAAATAACTTATTGGTCAGAATCCTATTGTTCATATAAAGTTTACATAATGTGTTGCTATTATTTTTTTAAAGCAACTAAAAAGGTTAGTGTTTAGGATGAGGTGGTGGGAATGGAGAGGATCCAGTGAAAGTCACTTGTAGTGTCCTAGCTGCTGCTGACAAGACAAACAAGTCATGGTGGCTTCACACAAGCCCCACAGAGTTCAGTGACAGTTAAGTTCAGCGAGTACACCCACGTAGCTGTAATTACCAGTGAAGTCAATGGGACTTGCTTTCCAGGGCAGACAGACTAGATTGGGCTGTTAGCTGGCTCCAACTCAGTGTCTCTCTTACGCTGAAAGATCTAGCGGCCCCATCAGTTGCTGCAGTGGACTCTTAATATTTATTACATTAGCAGCAAAACTCCTATGACTATTTCAGGAGTGTGAAACCTGTGGCCCTCCACATGTTGTTGGAGTACAGCTCCCATCAGTCCTAGCCAGTACAGCCAATAGTGACTGATGATGGAAGCTGCAGCTTCATATCATCTGTAGGGCCGTTAGTTGTTTATCCTTCATGTACTGGTGCATATGCATGGTAGAAGTTGAAGATGAGGGGAGGGGGGAAAAGGAAGCCATGGATCTATACAACTGGTCCTGTGTATGGCAAAATATTATTACATAATCAATTTATGCTTATCAAATGCCGTCATGAAGTAGTATACAACAAAATAACATCAATTTTGAAGCAGTGGTTTACTTACTGCCTCTGTGTATGCTTCACAGTTCTGTTCCTCATGAGCCTCCAGTAATTTCTACATCAAGGACATGAAAGGATCACACAGCAGAATTCACTACGTCATTTACATTCTTAGGGAAGATGAGCTTATTAAATCATTCCACCTGTGTTCTGCAGAACTGAAAACTGCCTCCCACTACTTGAAGAGACATTTTGAAAAGAACCAAACAATTGTGAATTCGGCTAGTAACGTACAGGAGAATAGCAAGCTTTTCATTCTAAGGCTGTGCTGGCCTTGGGTCTGAGGTATTTATACTGGATGATGTACTGGCAACTAGCATGTACACATCACCACCATAGATTGTGATCTCATAAAGGCAAAGACACTATGTTGGGAGGGGGACCAGACAGTTCCTCCACAGCACAGCAGTCTCAGCCTGCAGCAGGAACTGGTTTGAAATCTGTAGATGAGGGAGATGTGGGGGCACATCGAGACAAAGAAACAGCTTAACCCTGAAGGGACAGTGGGTTCAAGAACACAAGGCTATGAACCCTGTAGCGAGAAATGCTCCCCCAGAAGCTCCCCCAGCCAAGAACAAAGACCATAACCTGCTTGCAAGGGAAGACTCAGAAGCACAGAGATGGGAGCGGGTGAGGAAATGAATGTTCTGGCACTAACGCTTGTTGCAATCAGAAGGTAATGCAGTCAGAAATCCTCTGGAGCTAAGTACAGAAATAAGGAGCTCACAATGTGCCAGATGTTAGACTGCAACTCCTATGATCCCTCACCAATGACAACACTAACCAGGGTCCAGAAAATTGGCATTCATCAACACTTAGAGGCCACATGCTGTCCTGCCCCATTTTGGAACTAGGGAGCACAGAGAGAAGAAAGAACATAGATGGTAAGAGCCCTGTGGCGCAGTGGTTAAGCCACAATGCTGCAGTCAAGCCTCTGCTCACAACCTGAATTTGATCCCAGCAGATTCAGATAGCCGGCTTAAGGCTGACTAAGCCTTCCGTCCTTCCGAGGTCAATAAAATGAGTACACCAACTTTCTGGGGGAGGGGCAGGGACAAAGTGTTGTTTGCATAACTATGTTTTGACCACCCAAAGAGTGCTTTAACACTATCGGGTGGTATATAGGCTGAAACTACTACTCCTCTCTTCCCTCCTTCTTACCCTCTGGGTAACCATTTGAGGTCTCTGTGAAGGTTCTAAAAACATATTCGGTAGTCTTTAAATCTGGGCAGTGCACATCAGTTTTATTTTTAATATTTGTATTGGCATGGCCATTCTTTCCTTAGTCATGAGTTCAATGCGCTTTAACTGACAAGGGACCAGTAGCAATTTCAATCTCTATATAACAATTAAAATATTATGAGAAAGCCCTTTAGATATATGCCATATATATTTTTCAATACATCAAAAGCATGCTGGTCCACTTACTTTCAATAGTTTACATTCTCTTGAATCTGAAAAGGCTGGGAACATTTCTTCATATTTCTCAAGAGCCAGCTAAAAAGAAAGCAACTCCTTTTACATTTACTATTCAACATGCACCGTTGCCAGTAAAGTTTGAAAGCCAAACTTCTAGATGCAAATTTTTACATGTGCACAGCTCACTGAAACACAGATAAATAACATTTAAGTTTCAAAAGAAAGAATCATTTTCTGCAGTGAGAGTAGGCAGTATAAATGATTTAATGTTAAAGTATAGCGAGGGTTGAACTAACCTTAGCATTCAACTCATCAACTATAAAGTGACACAGTGCGGCTTTAAAGAAATAGTCCTTTGCACTGTGCTTGAGCAACGGGTTGTCCATAGTGCTTGTTCCAACCTATAAGAGAAAAATAACAATTACTATGAGATAGATAATGAAAAGTGCAGTGCAAAATACAACATTATTGTTTTTTGTCAGTTTTTTGGTGATTTCCTGCCCTCATTTCTGAAATTTAATAATTTCAGCTAAAAGGGCTGTCTGCCATAAAGCTACGAACTTCCATTTATTAATTAGTATTTCCACAATTACTAACATTAAAAGGATCATTTCAAACATATTTTGCTACCACAAGTTGAACTGTTGCACAGTTTATGCCACATGACTATGATCATGTCATCAGCTGCAGAATTTTTGACGGAATTAAACGCTTTCTATTCCCAGTCCCACCCTTCAGGTCCCAATGATCCCTAGGGATCCCCTTTGTCCCGGGAAAGTCTTGGGAGTTGCAGATGATATCATCAAAGCTGTGGAGCACAACTTGCACAACAGGATTCCAGCCACAGTGTTGCTTGGCAAAACTACCCAATCTTAATTAATCACCAAGATTTGTCTTGACTAGATATTGGTTAAAATCCAGTAGTAAATCACAATTAGAGTAGACCCACTGAATAATGGGGATTTAGTAAGCCAATTTCCCTGTAAGTTCTACTGATTCAACAGGACTACTCTAGTTGTGACTTACTATTGGATTTCAAGCACTGAGTCAGATCTAAAAGCATCAGAATATCACTCTGGTGAATCCCAAAGGAGAAATGTGTAGCACTGACAGACGCTAGTAACAGCAAAAGAATTAGAGTAGACCCACTGAATAATGGGGATTTAGTAAGCCAATTTCCCTGTAAGTTCTACTGATTCAACAGGACTACTCTAGTTGTGACTTACTATTGGATTTCAAGCACTGAGTCAGATCTAAAAGCATCAGAATATCACTCTGGTGAATCCCAAAGGAGAAATGTGTAGCACTGACAGACGCTAGTAACAGCAAAAGTGATTAAGATAAATCTGCCAGCATTGTTGACTAAAATATCTCTTGATTTGGACGCATGGGCATCACTTACATTAACTACCTGGGATCAGATGAATAATACAAGATACTTTTATATGTTGATGACCTTCTGTTGTTTATCATCAAACTAGGCTTGTCAATAACAGATAATAAAGTTAATTGACAGTTAAGAGGGCCTCTTTTCTTCATTTAATTGGTCCAATCTGAGGTCATTCCTTCTAGGATTCATACTTCATCCAGATTTTTTGCCAACTAGCAAGTGTCCCAGAAGCTACTTTGGCATATTGATTCCTCAAGATACCGCTCAAACACTGAGTCAGATCTAAAAGCATCAGAATACCACTTTGGTGAATCCCAAAGGAGAAATGCGTAGAACTGACAGACGCTAGTAACAGCAAAATTGATTAAGATAAATCTGCCAGCATTGTTGACTAAAATATCTCTTGATTTGGACGCATGGGCATCACTTACATTAACTACCTGGGATCAGATGAATATATAGTACTGAAAATGAACATATTGCCACAGATACTTTATCTTCTTTTTGCCATCTTGTTTTACACTTCTCAAAGAGTTTTCCCCCCAGAAAATTAAAACTGCATCTAGGAAATTTATATGAGGGGCTACATTGCCTCATTTTTCACTCAAGATGCAACTCCTTTTTGGGGAAAGTGGATTCATATTTCCAGATTTCAGTCTACATCATAGAGTGCATCTTTGAGCCTGCACAAATATTTGGAAAACTCCATTTGCATTGAATCATAGGCAATAATGGAATCAACTTATTTTATCACATGTTTTTCCTTGGATTACTGGTTCTGTCCATCTAGCAGAAAAAATATTCCCTCTCCCCACAAAAAGAATGGGACTGTCCATTGCAAATAATCAATTGGAAATATGCCCTAGATTAAGGTCATAAAATCTCTTTCAATCTAAAGCTATGTTTAGTTCAGCAAAAACAGACATATTCAACATAATGTTTAATTAAAAAGAAATTGGACACTTCAGCTAAATTTTGGAGGTGCAACATAGACAATCTTCCTTAAGGTGCTATATATACAGTGGTGGCCCCTATTTGGTTGGATATATTGCAGTAAATTATCTTGGTATTGGAAAAATCCTTTCTATTTGTGGATATGTATGCACTTTTACACTATGTTCCTGAAGTGTTATGTGACAAGGAACGTCATAATATTGATTCTTGTATAAATGATAGAAACTTGACATTAATTTTTGGTTTCCCATGGGAATGGAAGCAGCAAAGAAGGCAGGATCAAAGAAAATCCAAGCTAGTAAAACTGATGTTCCATCTCTGTGATATGGAAATCTTAGTCTTGCTAAGTAAACAATGAGAAGGAAGCTACCTTCCATAGCTTAAGAGAAGTCATTGGCATTTTGGCAGTTCAAAGAGCTTCCCAGACCAGATAGTGTTCCTTAATCCACACCTGAAACTCTTTGATCTGTGGAACAAAGAGTTCATAGGATGGCTTAAGGAAGAGGCTAGGAGCATAGAAGGAGGTGTGGAGAAAGAGGGAGTAATGAGAGAGAGAGAAAGGTCTAGTCTGAAAGGAGGAATGGAAGCAGACATGCCTTGAAGCAGAAAATCTGAAGGATAAAGTAACATTTTTGGACAGTCATAAGCTTTGTTTCATGGCAGTCAGTTTATTAATTTGTGTGCCTTGAATACCTTGCCTCATTCACTGACCATAGTCTTTTAGGTATAACTACTTCTGTTTATTTGCAACCCAAAACATCCCTGGCCTTGCCCAATGTAGACTTCTGTTTTATCCATTCATTTTATTTTTGTTTTCCTTTAATAAAGTTTTTAGTTAGACCCCTTTGGTCTGAAAGTTGTTTTTCAGAGAACACCCAGGTTATCTAAATCGCATTTGCCTTACAAATCTTATCCATTAACTACCAGGATGACTCGGAGTTTTACACCCTTATCCAATGGGGAATGGTGGAGCCATTCATCATATTGATGAGCAATAATCAGTGAACCCTAGTCTCTGGAGCCTCAGTCGGTTGAATCCATGGATTAGGATGCCTTCCAAGGGTTTTCCCCACCATGGAGGTATTAAAGGGTGCTATTCACCGATGGTCCTGCTGGAAACGACAGAGGGCTTCCTCCCATCTCTCTTGTTACAGAAAGTTAACTGCTGGTCACTATGTTTGGACCATGTCAAGACTGGGGAGATAAACATATAAAGTCCATAACTCAATGGTCAGAAGATCTTACTACTTTAACTTCACATGAATGCCTCTATCTTACAGGGGCCAACTCCAAATAAAATATTTTTGGACATGGTCTGCTTATGTTAATGCATATCCCTAACCCATGATTACATCTATCTATTATCCCCTTTCCTTCCTTCCTTCCTCCCTCCCTCCCTCCCCACCCCCTTTTCTTTTGGCTTGAAATAAATATAACAATGCCTCTGATTTATAAACCAGAATATAACTCACTCACCTGTTCAAACATTTCAATTGCCTTGGGATATTGCTCTAATTGAGCAGCATATCCAGCTACTTTCAGCAGACATTTGTTAGCAGAACTGGAAACAAAAGGGATAATTATCCAAATAGCACATAAATACAAGATTCTTTTTTTAAAAGTAAAGATATAACAAGGTACAACAACACTCCTTCATTAAAGGACTTGCATACTTGAGAAATTACTCATTCCATTTGTGCATGCAAATGGAAATGTGCTATCCTCCAAACATTATATTGTACATCTACTGCCATGAGTAGTGCACACACCTATAGAGGCTGCATCTACACATGGCCTCCCTTTCTCACACTCAAATTTTGGTTCCTTCCTATCTCCCTGAGGGTTTGTTCAAAACAAGTAAGAAAACAAGCTGAGATCTGTCCCTTTGTTTGGGTTTTCCTCCCAACATGTATGTCTGTTCGTGTGAATGTTTTAAATTTTATGTACTGTTTCAACACACTCTGAGAGCACTTTAAGTAGTCCTTTGTGTACATTTCTTTCAGATGCACTCATGACTTTTTATCCAAATGAGGATCACAGAGCACAATCTGTATCCTCCCCACAAACACTCTAGGAAATACAGACCAAGACACATGTATCTTCAACCTTGAGCTACAATAGGATTACTTACACCAGGGGTCCCCAACCCCAGGTCCGTAGCCTGGTGCCGGTCCATGGCCATGGCAAGACCGGGCCGTGGAGACAGATCTCCTGCCCCCCACTGCACGCACTCCCCCGCACCCCAACCCCCGGTCCGCAGCCTGGTGCCGATCCAGGCCCATGGCAAGACCGGGCCGTGGAGACATCTCCTGCCCCCACTGCATGCACTCACCCACGTATGCATGGCCCATCCACCCACATGAGTGCCCCGCCCACCCATGAGCATGCCCCATCCATGTGTACAAGCGCACCATGCCCACCCATGAATGCGCCCCACCCATCCGAGCATGCGCACAAGTATGCGCGGACCCCCTCCAACTGGTCTGTGGGTCGGAAAAGGTTGGGGACCACTGCCTTACACAACCCTATTTCCCACTTAGCTAATTTTTCATAATCTCAAAGTCTTGTATTTTGACCTTGAACCTAACAAATGAAATGCTAATTCAAGAAAGCGAATTTAGATGCGGATGTTCTATTAAACCCTATAACTCAAGAAGGACAGATTTCAGCTTTACAGTGCCAGAGGGAAAACTAAAATTCCAGATTATATTATTCACATTCATATTAAGTCTGTTATGAAAACTTGCCTGTTAGATTCTTCTCCTTTGTAATAATCTGCTGCTTGTTCATAATGGGCAATAGCCTTTAAAAAAGAGGAAGTTAACAAAGAAGTTAATATATTCATTTTTCTATGTAATACTTTTCTGGGACCTGCAACATAATAATTTAAGAAACAGACAGTCCAGATTCACAAGTTATTTGGGGGCTATGGCTCTCCTCAATTAAGGAGCCATTACACAATTTCATGGAAGATAAGGTGATCTATGGCTGTTAGTCATGATGGTTATACATTGCATTATCTCTAGATTACAGTTTCTGGGCAACACCAGTAAGAAGGTGCCCAGGACTGCAACCCATGTATTTTCAAGCTATACAGTGCCTCTATCTGTGCAGAAAGGAAGGACTCAAACAACGACACATGCTCACCTTCTCAATGTCTACTAGCTCAGACTCATAAATCTCTGCAATAGTAATGTGATGCTTGGCAGCAATAGTAAATCGGCCCTGAGAAGAGAAGAATTTGACACAGATTTTCTCTTTTCCATTTGGTGGAAATGAAGAATACAAAAGCAACTGAATGAAAGAACTAAGACCAACAAAGGTATATAGGTCATAAACAGGAATCCCAACCTAGTACCTAGAGTGTCTTACCATGTCTGTGTAAATATCGATGGCAGCATTTAAGCAGTTGATAGCCTCTGCATCGTATGCATTTAGAGGGAAAATAATGAATAAAATCAGCTTGGTCATCGAAACATTGTTGTTTTATTATCTCAAAGAACTGGGTTACTCATATCAACAGATTTGACAAGCAAATTCTCACTCACTCCTCTGTTCAAGATTAATGCAAAACAAAACTTCTTCATCCTCTAACGTAGGGATGAGTAGACTTCAGGTTTCAGGGGATCGCTTTCACTTTTTTTTTATTTCAAAGCTGTGTTCCACCAATCATAGATTTACCTAACCTGGCACGGAAGTCATACATTTAAAATTTAAAAAATCTTAGCAGAAAAACTTGCTTTGAGTACCAGAGCTAAACAGAACTCAAAATCTATCTCTGTTCACCCCATATTCTTCCCCCCTTTTATCAATATAATTTAGAGTGCAAGACAAATCTCTTCTTTTCCTACTATTCTTAAATAACGGAGTCACAAATCTTATCAACCTGCTCTAAGTTACCCAGACATTTGCCAAAAGACTCAAATCTATCTTCTGCCCACTCCTACTCTAACCTATGCATACAACATTATTGTCCTATATGCAGAGATCTCTTCAGAGCAGACATAAATGTGGAAGACTCCCACATTCCACAGCTGTTCCATAAAGCCTCAGTGGAGAAAACTGTGTGGCAATATCAAAGCAATCTGCCATCTCCACTGAAGCGTACAAACCTGCAAGACTTGCACATCTGCATTCTAGCACTCCTGCCACTTTGCACTACAGCCTGCAAAGTTCATATTCTCCAGAGAAGTAAATGCACACAGTCAGTTAATAAATGCTTACGTACTTAGGATACAAAGGACAGGGCCCATAAGAGTAGGCCTAAGGCGCATGGATTATCTGTCACCACAAGTCAAACTTTTATACAATAATGGGCAGAGTGCAGTCCCCCATGTCTTGCTGGACTGCAGTTCCCAGCATTCCTCACCACTAACTATGCCGGCTAGAGCTGACTGGAGTCATAATCCAACAACTACTGGAAGGGTGCACTTGCAACTGGAACCCCTGCTTTAACAAAAGCCAAGGCTTGGGCATAGAAATAGCCTTAGGAGTGTGGCCTATTCATGTGATGTTTCCATTCAGAATAAGTGGTAGATGGATCACAGAAGAAGGGCCTCCGTGTATAACTCCAGGTCATGAGAACTCCAACACATGAGAAGGAATATGCACTAAACTATGGCTCATTGTTGAACTCTGCCATGTGCATAAGCTGCACGTCCATATAGCTTCATCAAAACACAAAATTGATTTCTATGTACAAATGGACAAAGTAAATTTTAACAAAAAAAATTTACACATCCTTTGTTAGGTTCCAGAGTTTCTTCTGGCCATTTGTCTAATGGAATATCCCACTTGATACAGCAAATTGTAATTCAATGGCACTAACTTACTATATTCAAACAATTTGTTTTTAATAAATAGATTTAAAAGATGGTTTGTGTGTTGATGTTTGTTAAAAAGGCATCCAAGTTAAATAATTTAAAAACTATTCTTCACTTTAACGCACATAGTTCTGTTTTATTAAACTTTTTAAAATGTTCCAGTTCAGTAAAATTTTAATGTTTGCCGGCAAGACCTGGTACTAATTACTAGAACATTCAGATGTACTTTGTTCAGTAAAACAGAATCTAAGGGGAAACATTCCCATCATTCTTTCCCTTAATAATAACCAACCTGGAACAATTCGAGTTTTATTATTTACACTAACAACGTACACCTCTGTGCAATGTTTTCTTCTATTCTTCTGAATCTTACATCTAGCATCTGTCAGACACAATCCTAATATCCCACCTGTGTCACTATAGTCCCACTTGTAAGCCATTGTATGAACTGGCTGTAATGCTATAATTATTCTGAGGTTGCCTCGGAATCATTCAGAATTTATGTAACACATGCAGTTAATTAGTAAGATAGACAGTTAAGTTAGTTAGAAACGTTGAGTTAGATGCGGCAGTTTACAAATAGAAATCTTAAAACTACAGCTGTCAATCTAGATAGTTGTACAAGGGACCATATACCTTACCTTGTGGATCTGCCTTTTTATAAGCATTTCCTGCATCCACGAAACAGGTTGCTGAATCATGTTTACTCTGCAGTTGCATGTGGAGCTTGGCAGCCTGACAAAATGCATTTCCTGCAGCTGGAAAAGAAACAGCCTCAATATGTCTAACTCCAATATAATGTCAGAAGCAGCCATTCAAATGACAAAAGACAGCAAGTTCTCCCACATATCCAGATGCTTTACTTCGTATACAAAGCTTCCAGGCTAACAAGGAAAAGCCTAGCATATGCTCTATATTAGCAGAGCATGATTTTACTTAATAGGAACTCGCAATGATTATTCAAATTTCTCTGTTTTGAATTTCTCTCTGAAATACTCCCTGTACCAAGAGTTGCAAAGCTGAAGGGTTCTCATATGTTACACATAAAAAGATTTTTCCCCTTTATTACAAAGTGGGTCATACATAAAATAGAGGTAGGATGCATGGAGAGGTTTAAGGAAGATGGCTCAATACCTTTTTCACATCTTGTTCTTCTATGTAGCAGTAAACCATAGTTCTCAAATGACTTTTTTACACATTCTCATTGACATACAAAACGCTACCCTCACATAGAACACTAATTTCCAAGCTGAGCTGAGCCAAGCTGAGCCAAACCAAACCAAAACACTAGATAAAAGGCTTCTCCCTTCTTTTAAAAAATCAACTTGTTGCAGCACTACCTACTGTGAGATCGCTGTTTTGTCCAGTTCATTTCTCAGTGCTTGAAAGGTAATTCCAAGAAAATTAAAATGACTCCCTTGCTCAGCACAGGATCTATATACCAATTACATTTCATATACAGTCCAAAATATATTAAAACCTTCGTATTTTAATAATTGGCATGATGGAGGTCATACTGAAGAGATCTTTTTAATAGTTCATTTGAAAGTTCATCATCCAAATCTCACCCTCACAATACTGAAAATAACAAACTAATTTACCTATTATAACAATACAAAGTATCATCCACATATAACAGTACTGGCATTTATTTTCCAAACTTTGCAAAATGAAGAAAGGAACATATAAACCAAATCATGTATATATAGATAAATATACTGTATATATAGTGCTAATATACCTAACCCCCACCCACCCGTTCTCATAACATCTCCTGCCATCAGGATTGCTAGAGCCTCATAACCTGATGCACCGGGGGCACAAGAAGCTTTCAGTTAGTTTAAATTAATTATTTCCAGGGCCCAATCCAGTTAACATTGGCATAACTTTACCCAACAGGATTTTGCCTATTATATTTCCATTTCAAATGCTTTGAATTTTCTTCTCTGGTAAATGATACAGGACTATCCCATAATTCAGAACTGAACCATCCTTTTTAAAAGCCCATCTGTTCTGCACTAATAATTCCATGTCTCACTTTCAACACTATGTACACCAGCTGCCCACACTTCTCAGTTCCCCTGTTAATGCATTATCTTTTATCAACCTTTCTCTCACACAAAAAATCATGCTATGAAGTGAGAATATATTTTTCACACACTTTCATGTCAGTTTTCTTGCACTGCCTGAAAGCAGCTTCTTTCAGTGACTAGCTTAAAACAAATGGGCAAGGAGAGGAAAATAAGGTGAGAAATAAGTATATCCATCAGGAGTTTATTTTGGAAATGTGATAATCCACCTCAAGTTCTTATTAAGTTTAAATAACCTACCAAGTTTACAACTAATGCTGAAATAACCAGCACTTGATTCATGATCAAGAAATGAAATTGGGAGATAGTGCCCCTGTTTAGGGTTCCTGAATCACCTCCTTTTCATCATGGGATAAGGTACTGAGTCATCAACAAACAGCAAAGTCATTCTGTAATGTACATAGAATTGAATGGATTTAAAATTCAAAGCAAGTAAACCAGGATTTGGGATAGTAAATGAAGAGGTTTATATATACAGAAACGTGCAACTCACTACATATTTAATTAAGGAGCTCTGACGAAGGATAGCAACCTTGGATTAATAACCTCAGATAATGAGCAAATGGTATCAGAATGTTCTATGAAGATGCCCTCTCTGCCTACAAAGGAAAGAGACCTCTCTGTACATACCACTCCAGTTTTTGGCTATCTTGAACATATTTGCAGCTCTGGTATACATTTCACAGGCTTCTTCTATCTTTGTATTCCCTCTAGCAAAAAGCAAAATGAGAAATGGCATTAAAAGGAGACACGTATTTCTTATACAATTAATCAATCTGGTATGAGAGAACAGGATGGTAAACCCACAAAAGACAAGTTACATGCCAACTATATTCCACATTAAGTGAATGACATGGTTTTGACCCATCATAACTCTCTCTGCAATGTATTCTATACTTTGCACAAGAAATGCCTGAAGAAAAAACAGAGACTTCAAGCACTTTTATTAATTTGACTTCTGGAACCTCCCCAAGTGGTTCACTAAAAACCAAAAGAAAGCATTTAAAATAAAGCAAAAAAATTTTGAACACAAAATTTTCAAGCTGTGAACTTTGTTTACATATGCGGAACAGCATGGGAATTTGGTGAAAGCAAAATCTTGTGTGTTTTACTTCCAGCTGCACTTGGAGGAATCTCATTTCTGGATGTAGAATTCCTAGAAGAGGAAGTCCGCACAGCACACTTCTTCCTTAGTTCTCCTTAAGAAAACTTAAGAGAACATTACAAATAACACCCCAGTTCCACTAAACTATATCAGGAATGCATCCCTTTATTACTGTATTTTTTCATATATAAAACAACACTTTTTCCTAAAACCATTAGAGAAAAAATTGAGGGTTGTCTTATACATGGAAGGAGGCGAAGGAGCAGCCACGCTCAGCCACCTCTCGTGGCTGCCCACTGACTGCCGCCACCACCGTCCGATCGTCTCCTCCAGTGCCACTTCAGGCAGGGGTTAAGGTGGCGACATGAGCTGGAGGTGAGTCCCGGTAGTGGCGCTGGAGGCGGCGATCAGGCAGCAGCAGGAGGAGGTGGAGGCAGAGGAGCAGCCATGCCGGGCCGCCCCTCAGAGCTGCCCATTGACTGCTCCTCCACCTCCAGCAAGGGTCAAAATTGGAGGTCATCTTATACATTGGGGGGGTCGTATACATGGGAAAAGACTGTATATTCAATGGATAGTCTGAGGCGCGCTATACGGGGCACCACTGTATATTCAATGGATAGTCTGAGGCAAAGGTCTTTGAAAATCAATACTTCTCCTATTTTTAATGCTTAGGAATCAGTGCTACTGTTTATGTAGTCAAAACAGCACTTATTTCCAACAGAGAAGGTACCAGCAGGTTTAGAGGCACCCTACAAAGATCTGCAGTACAGCACAGTAATATTTAGGAAAAGAAACCAATGGGGCACAAACCAACAAAGAAGTCAATGAGATCTGAGCATGCTCACTAGACATGGGATATTAGGTATTGGGGATCATAGACAGGAAACTAGGTGGTGTACTGGAAAGGAGTAGCCTGCAGGAAGGCATTAGTGAAGGGAGGCATCCAGCACTACAACAATCTGTTGCTGATTATGTATATTAGTAGCAATAGGTGGGAGCAGCAAAATTTATGAGAATTTCTTCCTTTTATGGAGAAAACCTAGGAGGACTTGGGGAAGAGGCCAATGTAAACTAGAAAAGGATAAAGTGCTAAAGGACATCAGGAAGATTTTCACAACTTGCTAAGGAGCTGAAGATTAATCATTCATCTGCCGCCCCCATCACAGCACTGGAATGCTGTATTTTAATGATGTATTTTTAATGATATATTTTAAAGTTGTGTAGTTTCTCTAAAAACAAACGCTGTTTATGAATCCCATAAACTGAATACTAAAATTGGCAACTTACCATTGATTTTATTTTCACGGGAGGAGTGATATACTTCTATTTATTAATAAAGCATTTAAATCATTTCCCTAATGCCTTTCTTACTTGGAGTTATGCAACAAATAGAGAACTCTTTATTATCTTTGGGGCAATTTCAACGTTGATATAATCACTGAGCGATGGAAGCAAGTAACACTAGTTGAAGATATTCAATCAAGAAAATTGATCTGATTCCTTCAAAATTTAGCATTTGTTTCAATCAAAATAAAAATAAAAATTCCAATATAATTAATCTCTTCATTCTGGAGACACATTTCAAAGAGTTTTGGATCTGATGGATCCAAAGCCCCTCCTAAGACACAGTTGAATGTATCAAAATGCCTCTTTTCTGCCTTTATCATCCATGAAGATCACAAGTTGGGACAGGAATGGTGTAGAAAGCTCTACCCCTAAGGAGGATCTTCATGGGTGGGCCTACTTGTCCATGGGGATGGGGAAGGTCCACACAACCATGTGGTTTCTGGGAGATGCTCTCTGTGATTATCAGACTATGTCTTACAGTGTTCTCCAATAACCTTTCAAACACAGCTTCACTAAGATATGAGAAGTTGAATGGAAACCTTAATAACAGCAAGAATTAATATACCCATGAAATGAAAAACATTTACTACTGCTAGAAATCTGGAAATAAACAAGTTTAAGAATTATCATCATTAATACAACTGTAATCACATTTTAGATAAACATTAGAATGATCAACAATAATGATATGATCTGCCCACCACCAAGCATTTGCTTGTAATATATCTTTATTGGTTTGTCTTTATTTCTTATTCTGTTTTAAACCCATTACTGAAATAAAATAAAAATTTTAAAAATGGATTTGCTAATGCTGCTAACATAGTCTTTCATAATCAGTTTTTACTGATTTTTGTTTTATTATATATGCTTTTTACCATCAGAATTGGTTTTAATTCCATTATGGCATCAATTTTTATTTCTAAGCCTCTCTGAGTTTGATCTCATCATTCAATGGCAACATAAAAACACTGAAACAAAAGAAACATGTACATAAAGTGAACTAGCTTTTAAAAAATAAAGATACTGAAGCAGAGACTTCTCAGCAGCTGTTGACTACAGAACAAAATAAATTATGGATCAGAACTAAATGAGTTCTACAATTATCCATCATAAAACAAACAAACGAGCCTCACTTTCCAGTTCTGCTGGAAAAGCATTGATAGAGATTTATCAAGATGAATTGATTGATCACATGAACGCTTTTATCTGAGAAGTATCAAAGAAGCTTTTGGAAAAACACAAAACACAATGTGCTCTCAAAGTAGTGCCATCATCTAGGCTCTTATTAGCGAAATATAATATAAAACTATCATGCTCCCTAGCTTGACAGGAAGAACTTCAGATTCACAAATCAGATTACAGGGTTTGTTTGGTTTTGTGTGTGGGGGGGGGTATTTATTTATTTATTTATTTATTTATTTTTGCTTCTTCAGAAATAAAACTGAAATTCTCTCATTATCTCGCTTGCTTGCTCAACAAAAGGTCTTACATAGCTTAGGAAAAAAAATCACAGGCCAGATGGCTAATTATTTTAGGAAGAGGATCCCTGAGATAAAATGCCTTTCTGCATAGCCTGCACTTCTACAAATGGTGGGGAACATCTAGCAATGCCTCTCCTGATTATCTTAATAGTCAGATCTGTTCTGGGACAGAAAGATGCCTCTCTTACATGCCAGATCCAGGCAGTATATGAGATAGACTGACTCCCTAAAGTAAGCTACAGGCTTGAGTTTACAAGAGCTTAGCAGGGCTGCTGAGGGCAGGACGTATTGGAGATATTGTACATCTAGCAATGCCTCTCCTGATTATCTTAATAGTCAGATCTGTTCTGGGACAGAAAGATGCCTCTCTTACATGCCAGATCCAGGCAGTATATGAGATAGATTGACTCCCTAAAGTAAGCTGCAGGCTTGAGTTTACAAGAGCTTAGCAGGGCTGCTGAGGGCAGGACGTATTGGAGATATTGTAGCTCATTCACAGGATTGACTCGCCATAACTTGGGAGGCAAGTTGACAACACATAACAACAACAACAGGCAATGAAAAGCTTGACAAGTCAAAACCCAGAGATAAGAGGCAAACAATCCACTGACAGCAGATGTTTTCACCTCCCAGCTCCTGCCAGAAACGACACCTCTGTGCACCAGCTAGGGCAAGCCCCAGCCATTCTGTTGCCTGAAAGGAAAGGCAAAATGGTGCCTGAGCCTTCTCCTGCTGGCCAGGCCAGCAGAGGTGGTGGTGAAGGCTTCTGGGAGTTGTAGTCCAAGAACATCTGGAGGTCCAAGGTTGGGGACCCCTGAGTTGGGGCAAGCCCCAGCCATTCTGCTGCCTGAAAGGAAAGGCAAAATGGTGCCTGAGCCTTCTCCTGCTTTCTACATAGAAGACTTGGCTCCGAAATTTACTTCCAGCATTAATGATGAAGTAGTTTCCTCTAATGAGCCTTAAATTGGCAAGCTATGGGAGGGAACATTGGCAGGCTGGTGCTATGCGTACCTCCTGTATTCGACTCCTTGCTGCTGCTTCCCATTCCTACCCCATGTTGCTTGAGGCAACTGCTACCACTCTGCGTAACAGTGGTGCCAGCCTGGCAGCAGTCATTGCTGTCAAACCATTTCCAAGCCTGCCCCACAGAAAATGCCCTGTAGTAGATTTTCCTGAGGTTTCTGAGACATGGTTGATAGCTGTCCACATCTCTTATCTGCCAGATGCCCACTGAAATGAGCTCCTAAATGGTGAGTGTGACTAAGCCACATGTAGCAAAGCCAAATCTAGATGGATATGCATTCCCATTGACTGCAGCCACAATGTTCATTGGCACAGGCAGTGGAACTGCAACCTACTAGTATTTCCATATTGTTTGGATTGATCTGTACAGTTCCTCTATTGCTAAATACTGCTTTCCTGTATGTTTTCACTAACATAATTTTGATGGGGGCACCCTGATTGGGAAAATTACACAGAAGGAAGAGAACCCTTCAACATGGTTCAACGCTCCTTACTCTTGTCTTGCACTCAGCCTCAGGAGACCTAGATTGGTATCAAGATGAACTTCAATAGAAAAGGCAGTGATATCAAAAAGAACACTATGTGTTTGTCTGCCTACATCTTGGAATTCATTGTTTAACCTATGGGAAGGGCTCAGGACAGGTAATGGGAGCATGAAATCTAAAGCAAATATCATGTCAAATGCATCAGTGCTACATCAGAAGCAGATATGATAGCAAGAGTGTTTAAGACCCAAGTGCAAGCTTAGTGAGTTTGAGTTTTAAAGCTAATACAGTGTTTCAGTGCAGTACTTTATCTAATCCACACACAATCATTTTCAAAATGACTGGGTGTCATACAACTAAAGGAAAAGCACAAATAAACATCAATGATTTCAATGAAAGTGTTCAACATGTGTACTCTGCTATCAGTGTATAGAAGCAATGTGCCTTCTAGGTTAACTCAAACTTAGCGGTATTTAATTTCATTACTGCTTACATTTTTAATATTCTTCTCAAAGGAACAGGGATTAAAAGAACATCACATTTTTAAAAATGCACTACTGTATGTCCCAAATCTATGTATTACTAGTTCATCAAATGATAACTATTAGATAAGCCACAAGGGCCAGAACAGTTTTGTTATATAATCAAGAGTCAAGTGTTGCCTGCCAAGCAGAACTTCCCAGTGTCACACAAGATGCCTCTTTTATCCACAAGATTCCCTACTCATTTCTAAAGAGCCAGCTCTCCACAGTTCCATCGCATTTACAGACTATTCTGGCACCAACTGAAATTCTAATCTCCCTAATCCTGTATCTGATTAGTGGAATCAGATACAGGAAAGCTAATTAACTGATAATCTGGGGAGAAATTTTGCAAGGCTTGCCTTATGGACTGTATTGATTTTATTTGAATTTATTACAGTCAAAGGCCAGCACCAACATTTTTTTACAGTACACAAAACAAAACATGCTACGTAGATTATGCCACACAATACATCCACAAAGTATGTAAAATATATGTCACCATGTCACAATTATCCAAAATGGGGGTGATGGGAATCAGTTATCAGAGAACTGCGGCAAGCCACAGCAACTGCACGATGTATGCAGTGTAGAAGTTAGATGCAAAAATTGTCTCTTTCACTGAACCTCCCCTCCCACTAAGAAAAACAGATTACAGAGCCACTAAAAAGTTCTCATCACTAGGTCCTACTTCACCCAAACAATAGCTGGAGTGGGATATATTTGAATACCAGTTTAAGCTGCAAATGGTGGTTTCCATGACTGAAAAGACTCTAATTTACTTCCTTTTAAAATCCACATGGATTCCTTAACCAGAGGACAGCCATGTTACTCTACAGCAGCAAAACTATAGCACCTTGATGACTAATAGGTTTGTTGTGACATAAGCTTGCTTTGTCACATACACAAGGTGTCATACAGTTACTTGGTTGTCAAAGGAAAAAATATGAAGATGAAGAGCCCAAAGGCTGTAAAACATGGGTGATCCGGCAAGCCTCAAGCAGGCTCAAACAACTGCTTGTTATGGTCATTTCTTTTACAGCTAGCTATGCCTACGCTGAGACCATGTGTTTACCCATTAATACCGACATTTTTTTTATTTATTGTATTTATAAATACAATATTTATAAATATTTATAAATTTATAGCATGCAACCTTTCCAATCTGATGCTGTTCACATGTGCAGCACATCTTGAATAACAAAGGCCACACAAAAAGGGTGAGGAAACTTTGAACCCCCCTCCCCCAGATTTTTTGTACTGCAACTCCCATAATTCCTTACCATCGGCTATGCTGGCTGAAGCTTTTGGGAGCAATAGTGGAAAAAAAATCTGGAGGACAATCCCCACCCCAGCTCTGCAGATATACTCCCAGGTGGCTGTTTGTTGTTAATGTAGTTGGCTGCTTCAAAACTGAAAGAGACTTGCTGTATCTTAAAGTCAGAAAATAGTTGGGCTTTATACTTTTTGTGTTTCTGTATCCATGTATACACAGAGAGGTCTGCCAACTGAAATGAGACTCGATGTATGAGACAGAGTGGGCTCCTCGACACATAAAACGTCTGCCACAGTAAATGCTGATTTTTAAGGAGCCCCCAAAACTGTTTTGTGGCAAAAGATAAAATATTGCAACTCCTGTAGAAACTGTTCTTATGTTGCAGCCATCTAATGAGTTTTGTATGGCTACCTCCCTGCACAGAAGCTGGTATGCCGTATCTTTTGGGTCTCAAATGGCAGAAAACAATCAAGATGATAATTTAGGAGAACTCATAACACCGTATGTACTTCTGCGATTCAATAGGAATAATAATAATAAAAATAACAGCCACAACAGTAACAATATACTGTACCTCTGAATATCCCAGGTCTTTGGGAATTCAAGGAACTAAATCCAGCCAACATTTGGAAGGCTGTATATAATGGGAATCCTAGTACTTGACTTCTAATTTTTACGCTTGACCCTTGGATCCACCCCCTGCGCTGGCAATGTTGAGAAACAAGACGTTTATTTATAACAAAAACAACATTTTCCCTCCTTCTCTGTCCGTCTGTCTGTCTACGAAGGCGTGCACAGAGGGAGGGAAGGAGGCAGAGGCGTCTCCCGCCGAAACACCCCCTGGGCATCTGAAGAAGTGGGCGCCAGTCCAGGGGAAGCCTTATACCGTACCTGAATAAACCGTCTTTAAGGCGCCTCATGTCTAACAGCAGGAATTACAAGAGACTTGGCACGGGGCTCTTTGCAGCATCCTGTGCCCCCTCCCGCCTCCGTGCCTCTCCCGTCGCCATCCCACCATCACCGGCACTATCCCACTTCTTCCTCCCCTTCTCGCCCGTCTCCGCAGCCTCCCCGGGCCCACCACCACCCCCCCCCAAGCGGGGCCTGAAAAACGAGAGGGGCGCGGCGGCTCCGTCGACGCC